ATATATATATATGTATATATATATGTATATATATATGTAAATATATATATTTGATCATGCTTTGTAATTTAATGTAAAATTCATGCTAGTAACAAACCATTAATCAAGACGTTTTACTCAGGAAACAACTAATTTGGTGCTTTTTAATAGTTAGTAAGGTATTAGTTGAGTTTAGGTTTGGTTATTGGGTAGGACTAGGAATGTAGAATGGGATCATACGTTATAATCAGGGCCAGACGGAATCCGCGGACGTTTTTTGCTTTTTCTGCGGAGAATTTTAGCAAAAATCTGGAGATTTCTGCGGAATTATTTTGGGAGTATCCAGCGGAGTATCATAACTAAAACCTTAATATATGAAATAAAAACTAATAAATTACTGAATAAAAACTGAATAAATTCAGATTTACACATATACTCAAGTAAATAAACAGAATTAATGATGGGCTAAAAATCTGCAGAAATCTGCGGAATTCTGTGGAAAATCTGTGGATTTCTGTGCGCGCAAATTTCGTGTGGGCCTAGTTATATGTGCTAATAAACAGTAAATAACAGAACAGACAATTTTTTTAAAACAAAGCAATAAAAAACATGTAATCAACAGAAATGTACATAATGCTTCACATTTCTAATGTAGCTACATAATACCTACCTACCCCTAAACAAAAACATTAATCATATACTGAATAAAATGATACTCTACTCTCTCCCAGTAGGTGGCTCCAACAGCACAAATAACAGCATTTCCTTGGTTACTGCCATTAGCCCCTTTCACACATTCATATGAAAGGTAAATCCTGCCAATTTCAAATAAATCAAATAAACATTGGAAATGAAAATGAAAATCAGATTAACAATTTCATTTTAAAACACTGTTCGCAAAATATCTGCCAAAATTGAAAACAAAATGAAATTATTTAATTTTCATTTTCACTTTGACAACACATCGTCCCTGTCAAATTGATAATTAAAATGAAGTTGACAATTTAACATTTAATTTTCACCCCATTTCCGCGTCAAGACTGCCAATGTTAAAATGGAAAGCCAAACTGAAAAATAAAATGCAAACACAATTTTTACAAAGCGTGTTATTAATGTTCACGCTATAATAGTGACACAATTCAAATGAAAATGTAAATTTAAGCTTTCCTTTTATTTATAGTAACTCACGCTGTCCCATCCATCAAAACCGTGCTTCTGCCCTTGGGCTCTGTCACAGTAAAAGCACTCGACGTCACTTGAATACGCCCCTCCCACTGATTAGCATAGGCTTTGCACACAGCTTGAAGTTGAAAATGAAATCGAAAATGAAAACTGAAATGAAAAAGTGTCAATAAAAGGAAATGTGTGGCTTCCCGGCCGCGAAAACATCATTATATGAGGACAAAAATGACATTTTCAGGCAAATTATAACTTATAAATACAGTATGTGACTCATTCAACATCATTTGGAGGTGTCAATGTCACTGAGCAACGTGTGTGAAACAATGAAAAGACTCATGCAGCCGCCTTTCCTTCTCTCCTGAACTTGAAAATATGATTGGCAGACTTGTAGAAATGCTGGATTAAGATGGTCTAGGTGGTCAAATCGAGATTGTGATCTTTTAACGATTAATTGTGCAGCTCTAATGTGTATATGTGATGTATATGTCCCTGCTGAAAAATCCAGCTTAAACCAGCCTTGACTGGTAGGCTGGTTTTAGAGGGGTTTTGGCCACTTCCAGGCTGGTCTCCAGCCATTTCCAGCCTGGTCTTAGCTGGTCAGGCTGGGAGATGACCAGCTAAAACCAGCTTGACCAGCCTAGCCAAGATGGTAGTCCAGCCAAAACCAGCTATATCCAGCTTAAACCAGGCTGGTCGAGCTGGTTTAAGCTGGATTTGGCTGGCCATTTTCCAGCCTGACCAGATAGGACCAGGCTGGAAATGGGTGGAAACCAGCCTGGAAATGGCCAAAACCCCTCTAAAACCAGGCTGGTCAACCAGCTAAAACCAGCCAACCAGCCTAGGCTGGTTTAAGCTGGATTTTTCAGAAGGGTGATCAAATGCCAAACTTTGCTGCAGAAAGAATCTGCCTTCAGGTACTCAACTCAACTACTTCGTAAATTTAAATACTTTAAACTCAATCAATAATCAAACTCCATACTTCTATATACTTTAAACTTTAAATAAACTCTTAATAGTTTAAAACCATCTTCACTTCTCCCATTTTTGTTCTTCAGCTGAAAATACGTCGCCACTAGTCGTCCTCCGTCATCATGGTCTCTTTCACACCGTTCAGCGTCTCCGTGATGTCATCGCGTGTGGAAATATGCCTCCGGTTGGTTCCTTGGTACCCGCGGGGCAGCAGGAAGAGACGTTTGACGGCGGAGCGGTATTTGTTGGACATCAGGTTGTAGAGGACTGGATTGACTGATGCGCTCAGGTAGAAGAGCACCATCGAGGCCACGTTGAAGTTCTGACTGAGCCGAGCGGAGTGATAGTCATCCACATGAGTGAAGAGGAAGCGGCCGATGTGGTACGGCAGCCAGCAGATGGCAAAGACTGATACCACAACAGCTGAGAGAGAGAGAGAAAGAGAGAGAGAGAGAGAGAGATGAGGTTAATAGAGGAATGAGGTTCGTCTCAAGTGTGCCGCAAGCCTACGTTTGAGTGAAGGTTTCGGCCGTTAGATCGCCCCCTGGGGGCTGGCTGCAGTACAAGTCATAAAGCCCGCCTCCTCCGTGTTAATGAAGGAGACTTGAGCCCAAATAAAAAAAAATATTACACTTGCAATAAAATGTCCCGAAAGATGGTTCTGGTCGATTAAGGCACTGGTTATTGTGCTGAAATAGGTGCAGATCTTCATTTTTGTAAACAGTTTGTTTTTAGCAGTAATTTAATGCTGGGCGTGTCATCGTGATTGACAGCTGTGATTGACAGTTTCTCAAAGCGTGGCGTCTGAGCTTCGGCAGGAGACTGAAGTAGACTGAAATGTTATTATTCGATTTCTGTGTTATTTTACCATGACAAAATGAGTTCAGCAGTAAACTATAGTTTCTGACATACATGATCCTGGTGGAACACTGTTTATTCGCTAAGTTCAGGGCTTTTTTCGGGCTTTATTAGTTTGCTGATACACGCCTAGCCACCCAGATAGCAAAACACAGTTCCGGCTAGATTCTCGCCTGCCGGAGACTTATCTCTTAGAGCTCAGACTGACTAACGTTACCTCTGCTGGACCTACTCCGGATGCCTGGACTCACTACCCAATACCAGCCCGAGTCAATCGAGCCAGATGTGGCGGCCGAGCGAGCAGGCGCTGCCGCATGCGAGCCGGAATCAGCCCGCGACGCCGCGAGTAAGTTATGCGCTGCGGCCCGGAGCTGGCACGATTGAATATAAAAAAGCCTCATATTTGTTAACGTTATTACATCCATTTGTGTTGATATGACAGCAAACGCATGCTGAGAAGTTCGGGGGCGTAGTTGATTTTACATAAAGCGTTTGATTGGAAGCTCGACTCTGCTCATTTTCGCGGCTCCTCCTCTGGCTCCATCAGACAATCCTTCTGCGCATGTCTGGCTCCAATTTCAGCAGTCTTTTGCGACAGTTTGTGCCCGTCAAGCAGGCGTTTTGCCCTCAAGGCGTTCAATGGGAAAAAGGGCTGTCGCGTCATCCATATTTTTTACAGTCATTGGTTCGTCTCTGTTCATGGTGGAACCAAAAAACATTGTCAAAATAGTTCATGCAGTCAAGCAGGTCATGTAAACCATAGATCTCAAACTGGATTCCTGGAGGGCGGCAACTCTGCACAGTTTTGACCCAACCCTAATCAAAAACAGCTGATTCAAATAATCAAGTTAATCAAAAGAGTCTCGAACACCTCAATTAGTTGCATTAGCTGTGTTTGATTAGGGTTGGAGCAAAACTGTAATCATATGACAATCCAATAACTTTTTTGTGTTCCAATGAACTCCAAAAATGGCTTTGTTCAGTTATATCTTCCCTACCAGGTTAGGGTACACACGCCATCCCACTTTAGTTCCTCCGACACTCCCCCCTAAACAGAGCTGGACACTTTTCTGACTTTTTCCAAAGTAGAGGTGTGAAAACACCCTGCTGAAACGAGGGGGTTTCATGGCCCTTTAAAAGTCTGATTTATTAACATTTGATTGAATCGTTTAATTTTAGTAGTTTTTCTGTACAAGTCTTTCACCCTAACCACACCCCCATCATCCTCCCTCTCTTTTTGGGTAAAGTCTAGATCGGATATGCGGCCGGCCGGAAGTGCGATATGCACATTAATAAAGCAGCATTTTTTTATAACACTGTATAACAATAATTAATATTTTTACAATACTGTGAGGGTTGGGTTTAGGGTTGGGGTGGGGGTAGGCGTTTAAAAAGAAATTTTATTGGGTTATTTAAAGGGCCATGAAACCCCCTCGTTTCAGCAGGGTGTTTTCACACCTCTACTTTGGAAAAAGTCAGAAAAGTGGGCGTGTCCAGCTCTGTTTAGGGGGGAGTGTCGGAGGAACTAAAGTGGGATGGTGTGGGAGTGTCTATTTGGGCATGCGCGAGTTTCAGTCAAAATACACACACATGAGAAAGTGATGGTGTTTAACCTACATGGGCATCTGTAGTTGAATGCCAGATTTTTGCCAGATTATTAAATGTTGGACTTTAACTGCAGTTTGACTCTTTCATTTAGGGAATTCATTCATGCCCCTCGCGACAAACGCGATATTTGATTCGAGGATCTGCTCTAAGCGTGTATTTTTCATGCAATGTTTGATACCGCACGGCGAATGAGAGAAAAAAAAGCTCCGCAATTCCCGGAAACTTAGATGCACACAGCAGGTAGCGTCAGAAAGCCGCGTGTGTTATTCCGGTCACTAAATGCGGTGCTAACAAGTTTGCACTCAGTGCAATAGTTAACTTAATTCGATATGAACAAACTGAATAAACAAAGAGCACTGGACGCTCACTTACCAAATCTGTAGAGACAGGACAATCACCAGCAACTAGAGCCGCGTCTTTATGAAGAGAAGACTACAAGCAAATCCGGATTTCAGCGTTTGCAGATGAGAACAGCTCTCAGGTAAACAATAATCCTCCTTAGACACGTAAGTTATTGTTGTCGAGCGTCGCGTACACTGTTAATCCACACGTGAGTCAGAGTTCTCACAGAGAGAAAATGAAAACGAAACTTAACTGCAGCAAACTATAAAAGCAACACTTCACGCTTGTTTTGCCAACACAACGTGGCGTCTCTGGTGTAAACAGTGACACTAATGAATATTAATGAAGTTGCAAAATAGAGCGCGCTGATTGGTTTGAACCAAGCCTTACTCATGCATTAATGCATCACACTGTAAGACGTAATAAGGCACACTCTGGCACAGACGTCCAGTCTGCACGCTGGAATACACGCTATTATGTCATGACCGTGACGCAGCTTCAAAAATTCGTTTCAAACAGGAAGTACGAATTTGCTTGAAATAACGCAAAAACAACCAATTTACACTTTTTAGTGAAATATAGGTGTCCTAATAGTGTTTTTAGCAGTGTGGGACACATATACGACTGTCAACAGCTCAAAACATGTGTTTTGGTGTTTCGTGACCCTTTAAAGATATCATAACTAATACTCGGTACAACAACTGTTTTTACATTACTGTGACGGTTGGGTTTAGGGTTGGGGTGGGGGTTTACGTTAATAAAACAAAACAAATGAGAAATTTAATAAATAATAGAAATAATTCTCGTTAACTTCCGGCCGCAAACGTATCCGCTCTAGCAACAACCCTCTTTTTGAAGGGGATGGCAAGCCAAATCAAAGGTTACCATAACCCAGTGGTTCACAATTCCGGTTCTCGGGCCCCCCTGCCCTGCACAGTTCATGGATCTCTCTGTTAAGGAACTGATATCAGGTGAGTTAAGCAAGGAAGCCATACAAAATGTGCAGGGTGGGGTGGTCCGAGGACCGGAATTGAGAAGCACTACCATAAGGCAACTTTGGCCCACGGATCCTAATTTGGGTAAAGTCAAATTCCCCAAGTCACACTTACCCAGAATCTTGACGGTCTGCCTGTTAACCTTCTGTCTGGCTGCCGCATTGGGTCCATGAAGCTCATGCCGACTCTTCCACAACTTTCGGCCGATGGATCCGTACAAGAAGAGCAAGCAAAACATGGGGCAGAAGAAGTAGGCAGTTGAAACCCAAATCGTGGTGTGTAGCAGCCCTGACTCGATGGCGTATCGTGTGTGTTTGCACTGTCGAGACCCGGGATCAGGCATGGTTTCATTTTCATACTCCACCCCCATCAAGAAGAACATCGGCGCCGCGGACAGAAGAGCAAAACCCCACAGAGCCAAGATCACGTATTTGACCCTCCTCTTAGTAATGGCCGCCTTGGCTTTGAAAGGGAAGCAGATGGCCAGGTAACGCTCCATGCTGAGCACCGTGATGTGAAGGATGGTGGCGTTGGTGCATCCTTCATTGATGTAGTGCGACAGACGACACACAAACTCGCCGAAGATCCAAGGGACGTACTTCCAGAGGCGGTAGAGGTCGAAGGGCAGGCTGAGGAAGATGACCAGGTCTGAGATGGCCATGCTGGAGAGATACAGGTTGGTGGTGGTCTTCATGTCCTTAAAGCGCTGGATGATCAGGATGGTCATGGTGTTTCCGGTTACACCAATAATGAAGAGAAAGATGCAAATGGTGGTGACGGGAATAAGGGTGGAGGTTGGAAAGAGAGAGGCTCCGCAATGGTGGTCCTCCATTTGGATTCAAGTCTGTAGGTTGATTGAAGAGTCTTTCCAAGAGGTGAATATACAAAGTGGGTGTTTTGCTTGGAAGTCTGTTAAGTGTGCTGTTCAACGAAACATCGATTGAAGACTCTTTCTGAGAGGGTCAGTACTCAAAGTGGTGCAGGTGATTAGCGTGTCACTCCAGGTCTTTAAATATTCAGATCTCAAGGGGTGGAGACACTACGGACTGGTCTGTGGCGAGAGGCCGGGCTTTGGCTTTCAGTGTGTGCGTGTGTGTGCACATCTGAATAAACAGATCTTGGTGCGTGTACAGTTGAAGTCAGAATTATTAGCCCTTCTGAATAATTAGCCCCCTGCAAATTTCGGTTGGATGGAAAGAAGATTTACAACACATTTCTAAACATAATAGTTTTAATAACAGATTTTTTTTAGATTTGCCTTAATAACAGCACATAATGTTTGATTTTAATATTTTTAAGATACTAGTATTCAGCTTAAAGTGACATTTAAAGGCTAAACTAGGTTAAGTAGGCAAGCTAGGGTAATTAGGCAAGTCATTGTATAACAGTGGTTTGTTCTGGAGACAATCAAAACAAATAGTGTTTAAGGGGGCTAATAATACTGACCTTAAAATGGTGTTTAAAAAAATTAAAAACAGCTTTTATTCAAGTTGAAATAAAACAAATAAGACTTTCTCTAGTAGAAAAAATATTATAGGAAATACTGTGAAAAATTCCTAAATCTGTTCCACATCATTTGGGAAATATTTAAAAAGGAGAATAAAATTCCCAGGAGGACGGATTATTTTGACTGTATACATAATGATTATTTGCTCTTGATAATTTATGCTGAACTTGCCGGTTTTAAGCAAAATCATTACTTAAAATATGTTAGTAAAATATAATAACATTATAAAATTACACTAGAAATAAAGATAAATCCAAACAGTTTGGCAACATCTAACAAAAATAACACAATATAGTGAATGCCCACGGCTCACACCTCCCCGAAAGCTCATGTTGTGCTCTGTGTGTTCCATTTCGAAACATAACACAGAGAAAACGCATTTAGATCATCTTAATGTCTTCGTAATTTGCTTTAACGTCACATTAATCTGATTTACCACACAATCTGTCTGCAGCAGATCCTTCAACCTCTTGACCCTGTTGAGCAACCAAGATCTCTGCCATTCAGCACAATATCTTAACTTGTATCTGAGCACTTTCATCAAAGAAATAACAGTAAATTTTAGGTCGAAGCTGAAATTTTGGTGTCTGCATTAAATTATATATATACACAGAAAACATCACAACGCTTCTACTTTAATGATTCTTGTGATTGAAGAATATGGATTTGGATGAATATTTTGCAACGTCATTCAGTAAGAGATATTTGTGTAAAAATGAAAACTACACCTTTATTCTGACCTGTAGGAAATCAAGTAAAAAGATTAAATAAGTGATCATACTAAATCTTTGACCCATATTTATTTACATGAACAGCTCTAGAAATAACTACGAGACCCATATTTTTGTTCTGTAAACTACTAATGACGCTTTTGGTAATAATTGTAAAAGTTTTATTTGTTGTTGCATAAAATATCAAGGCTTTTTCAGGCTTTCGTAATTAATTTTAGAAAAAACAATAAGAAGAAATAGGAAATCTTTATCGAGTGGAATACACCTGATGTTTTTAAGTAACAACAAATAATAATGTGTTATTTTTACCAGCTGTCATTTTATGATGCTGTCATTTTATGGCAGAAATGTTATTAGACCTTTTTAGAAATAACAACAAATATTAACATTTTACGCATTAAATTCAGAGAAAGTGAACTTTATGTGGTCTCATGACAATATATATATATATATATATATATATATATATATATATATATATATTGTCATGAGACCACGTCCAGCTGATGAGTGGGATGCAGCTCACCAGATGATCCATCAGAAATATCCACCCTCTACCACTTTAACAAATGAGTTGTTGCTCATACAACTGGGATCGACAACAAGACTTTTGTCAGGTAGTGTATATACACACTCATACACATACACACACACACACGCACGCACGCACGAACGCACGCACGCACGCACGCACGCACGCACGCACGCACGCACACACACACACACACACACTCAACATACAGTAAAAGAATACAATTAAGAATTATAAATCTTTTATTGTGCATGGATCTGTCTGTAGATATCATGGCTATACAGACACTCTTAATATATATATATATACACATAGGATTATACATCTCCTATCTCATAACGAACATTTTAAAGTGATATGTCTGCTAGCATGTATACTTTAACAAATTGTTATTTTGGAATGTACGGTGTATGAGGTAACTGCAAACATTAAAATTACATAAAAATGGTCTCATTTTTTGTGCATATTTTATTGATTTTTGTTTGTTTGTTTTTTTGTTGTTGTAGTTTTCCTTTCTCCCAAGAACCAGAGGTTATCATGGTGGGGAGGCGTTAAAATGGCACACTTCGCAATTACATTTGATCACTATCAAAAATAGGAATTTGAGTTGTTTCGTTTTTCTTTTTGTTTACTTCCCTTCAATGACAAACAGAAGACAGAATATCTAGTAGACCAAATCACGTAATTCATTTTCATCCAAGACTTCTTGCAAGCTACCTGTAGTTGGTAACGGTTGTTGACAGCACTCATATGCCCAAAACCAAAGCACGACATGACCGAATCGATAATCAGCACTGATAATCAGTCACAAGACTTTAAACACACAGAGAAAAAGGCAAAACATTTCCGATTCACAGGAAGTAACACAATTTCATTACTGCAGTTTGTGTTTCGTTTCTTGCGCTTTTCTTAATTCCTCCGCTGGACGTAATTAACTTAAATGCTTCGCGTATAAAAAAATAAACACAAATGTGTGGGGGTTTTGTTTAAACGAGAAACGATATCTGAATATTTACTCCTATAATCCATACTCTGGAGGTTACGAAAATAATATTGCTAAAAGTAACGATTCACACAACGAGATAATTTGGTTACTAAAACTAAAAAACCAACAAAAAAATAGAGAAATTAAGAAAACACTACGATTTCGTGATTATTGTCTGAATAAACCGTCTCAAGAACCATTATTGTGTTACTACGTTATTTTTTTTCTTAAAAACACATCGAGGGCTTGCACAATTGGAGAACATGATCCATAAAACGCTTCACGAGATCAAGACGCATTCAATAAGTAAATTGTTTGTTTTTTCTCACTAAGGTGCAAAGATAACGACTGAAGGAAAGGTTTCCGAGAAAGCTTACATTGTTTGTGCTGAACGACAATATTTCGGAGCGAAAGCAGCTGCTTGATTGTAAAAACAAGCTACGGTAGAACTAAATAACGTACATGATCGTAAAAATAACTATTAAGTTGAGTTAGTTTGGTATTCATAGTCATAATCCCCGCCCCCCCCCAAAACGTACTAATCCAGAATCTCAGGTCCTCGTATCATACTGTACAAAAATATACTAACATATTTCTCTAGTTATTTTTGCATCCTTTACACATTCTGAACATCAAAAAAAAAAAAAAACAAACGAAAAAAAAAAACGTTCTTATGAAAGTGCTAAATCAACGTTCGCTAATTGCAGCGTTCTCCACCGTACATCCTCGAAATTTTACCGTTCCCGGGGGTTCAGTTCGCAAAACTGGCCCTCAAGTCCCGAAATCGCAAACGTACGAAATTATACGAATATAAATAACATAAAGACTACAGCTACACGAATAAATGTGTAAAGACGACGACGACGAGCGTTAAGCTTCACTGCTGATCCTTCAAAATAAGTCCGATGGAAATACGGGACGTTCTCAAGACAGCGGGAACCACTGGACGAAAAAATTGTTTTCCAGTTTTCGTGATGAAACTAGAAAGAAACGAAAACGAACGACACTCATTCGATGACGAAGTACTGTATAGCGACGGCGATGAGGATGGAGGTCACGGCCAGCAGGGCGATGATCAGGAAGGAAAACTGTTCGTCGGTCAGGCTGCGTTTTGGTTTCTGGTTTTCGGCTGTTTTGGAGCCGCTGGAGCCTGTGGGCCCGGGGCCGTCCACGCGGGCTGGCAGCAAGATGACGGTGGAGCTGTAAGACCCGATGATCTCTGGGGCATCCTGACACTGCCTGATGGCGCAGACCCGAAAGCGGTAGTCCATGGAGGAGCTCAGGTTGGGGAGCTGGAAGGAACTGGACGAGCCCTTGTAGATCTAGGAAAATAAGACATTAAAATTGTGCTCAGTTTTATTAGGCGTTAATAGTATTTCTAAATATTACATATTATATTAATACTTTTTAAATTAAATAAATAAAAGCTCATGAAAAAATATTGCTATGGACTGCTAATAAAAAAATTAAAACTGCATTTATTTGATATACTTTATCTTAACTTTCCAGTTCGAGTTAACTTAATGTACTAAAAAGATATTAATTTACATGTTTAGATATATTAATATAATTAGTGTTGTCAAACAAATAATTAAATCCAAACTAAGTTTGTTTTTACATAACGTGTATTCACGGTGTATAAATAATACAGCATAATTGAGTACACGCTATTTACAAAATTTATTTTTGTCCATTTTTCAGTGAAAATAGGCAATGTATTTGAGCAAAACAGATTTAATAAACAGGTATATTTATTAAAATAATATTTTTAGTAACATACTTATAAATTCAAAGACAAAGCAAATGAATTCAAGCAAATTATTGCAAAAAAAAATTACAACATATAAAATTTTACAAAATTGTACAATTATTTTTGCTTCTCTTGATGTTTTCTTTTTTATTTGTATTTAATAAAAATATTAAATAACAATATATAACAAAAAAAATATATATATATAAACATAAATATATAATATAACTATATAACTATATATATATAACTATATATATATATATATATAAAATAACATAAATTTGGGTGTGCTAGTTTTCAGACGGTTATCGTAATTTATTTTGTTAGAAAAGCTAATTTGGCTTCAGTATTGACTACTCTAATGTATATGCACCAATATTTATATATTGTTGAAGTCAGAATTATTAGCCCCCCTTTTAATTTTTTTTTTCTTCTTTTTTTAAATGATGTTTAACAGGGCAAGGAAATTTTCACAGAATGTCTGATAATATTTGTTCTTCTGGAGAAAGTCTTATTTGTTTGACTTCAACTAGAATAAAATCCGTTTTAAATTTTTTAAACACCATTTTAAGGTCAAAACTATTAGCCCCTTTGTATAATTGTGGCGTTTTGGTGACTGTCACTTTAAATTCAAATGAGATTGTGCTCTTTTCAAAAGAGGGCGGGACTAGAGATACTTGTGTGTCAGCATAGTGGCAGATTCAAAAACAAGACTGACGTCATATGCTAATGAGGAAGAGATGGTCACTAGTGGGCGGGGCTTTCCCCCTCTGATGACACGTACAAACGGAGAATGTCAATTGAAGTGTTTCTGCAGACTGATTTCATCAAGTGTGATGATCAGAAATAAAAAGAATACATTTGTACTATTAGAAGTTGGGTTATATTCACACACTGTTGCCACACAACTGTGCTTAAATATATATAAAAGTGATTTTTGCATAATAGGTGCCCTTTAAGATCTATGCATAAGATGGAGCCCTTGATATACAAAGCCTATGAAGGCCACTGCAAGAACATGATGTCAGAATATATAAAGCATACCCGACCACAGCATAAATATCACAGGCCAGATTTGATTATTCTCTAACATTAAGGCTAATAACTGTCAATAAGCCCGGATTTAATGAACACTTGATCCTCATTAAGTCATCAAATATTCATCCAAACTGCTGGACGCAACACCTGCTGTCTGCTGAGTGTTGTAACAAGCTTATATTTGACACGCGCTGTACTCACTGTAATGACACATATTGTAATCATCTGTTTTTTATTTTTTTTTGAGGGGGGGTGGGGGGATATTAAGCAGATATGACATTATGTGGTGTGTATAATGTACTATGAATGTATCAACAGGTCTGGTACATTTCAAAGATCAAAAGTGCAGGAAATCAAGTAAAAAATTATTAATAAAATAAATAAATAAAAATAAATATATAAACTAAATAAAGAAAAATAAGTAAATAAGATAAATATAACAAAATACAAGAAACTAATTAATTGATAAAAATAATGATTAAAACATTTACTAGAAAAAAGAAAAAGCAAATAAAAGAAATATAAATAAAAGAATGAATAAATAAAAATAGAAAAAAGAAAAAATAAACATAAAAACTCAAAACAAATAAATAAAAAAACAAAACAAAAGAAAAAACTAAAATAAAGAAAAATAAAGAATTAAACAAATTAAATAAAAATAAATGAGTAAAACAAAATACAAGAGTAATTTAAAAAAACTAAATACAAGGAAAAAGGTAATTAAAAGTAAATAAATATAACAAAATACAAGAAACAAATAAAATAAATGAATAATTAAAAAAATAAATAAAATTAAAACAAATAAATAAAAAATACAAGAAATAAGTTAAATAAAAATAAGTAAAACAAACTACAAAAAATAATTTAAAAAAGTGAATAAAAATAAATAAATGAATGAATAAAACAAAATACAAGTAACAAATAAAATAAATAAAAAAATAAAAAATAAAAACAAATAGATAAAATACAAAACACGGGAAAAAAGTAAAATAAAAATAAATAAAACAAAATACAAAAAAATTAATAAAAGAATTAAAATAAAAAAGTAAATAAAAATAAATAAATGAATGAATAAAAAATACAGGAAACAAATGAAATAAATTAATAAATCAAAAATAAATCAAATAAAACAAATAAAAAACAAAATACAATAAAAAAGTTAAATGAAAATAAATATAACAAAATATAAGAAACAAATAAAATAAAATAAATAAATGAAAATAAACAAATAAAATTTAAGTTGCTGAAAAATCATTTGCTCTTTTGTTGTTTCGCATGTCACTTTCACGTTTGTCTATTTCTGAAAGGATCGGATGTCAGAAGCTCTTCAGTAATCACGTGAACATTATTATCAGCACAAATTTATTATTTCAAATATAGACGCTCAGCGAGCAATCGTGAGCTCTGAAGAAAGTGAAACCGCTCACACTTTTAGACAGCCTCGTAAATAACAACAGAACACTCGGCAGATTCTGCTCTTCATCTAGGCTTTGTGGCTATACATCAAGGCGATGACAAGGTTTGTTAAGAAGCAAAAAGTAATACGGTGTGGTTCGCTTTCAGGTACCTTTGGTCAGCGGAAACGGCAATTAAAGCGTGCAGAACCGTACAATACCGTACCACTTAGTGTAAATGAGCTATAATTCAGTCTTAATTCTGTAGTAGTAGTAGTAGTAAAACTTTATTGTCCTTGACAGGAGATTTGTTTTGGGCATTGCCATATTGCTGCAGACACTCACTAAAACAAGCAATAAAAAACAGTATAAAATACAACAATTACAAAATTTATGGTGCCAATTAAGATATACTCTTATTAAGTAAACCCACTGACACAGGTACAAAGGATTTCTTGTAACGGTTTAACCTACACTTTGGGACTCTATATCTTCTACCAGAGGGAAGCAGTTCGTACTGGGGAAACAAAAAATGAGTTGGATCCTTTACAATCCTATCCACCTGATTGAGGACACAGTTCTCATATAAAACTTGAGGATTAAAATTTTCATTGTGCCCGACAATTTTCCATGCTGTCTTTAAGAGATGCATCAGTTTAGATTTACACTGAACAGATAGGTTGCCAAACCACACTGTAATGCCATACCTGACAATGCTTTCAAGAACTGCTTTAAAAAACAGCATCATGAGCTTCTTGTTGACTCCAAAAAGACGCAACCTCCGTAAAAAATACAATCTCTGGTGTAAACGAGAACAAACCCAATCAATGTGTGTTTTCCATGTGAAAGAATTGTCGATATGAATGCCCAAGTACTTATAGGTTTCTGACTGAGTAATAGGATCATCATGTACAACCACTTGACGATGGTCACCTATGCACTTTGGGTCAAATACCATCTCTTCTGTTTTCTTAGTATTTATTTTTAGCTTATTTCTATCACACCAATCAATGAACTGACTAATTTCTGACTGATATATAACCCCAATATCATCCTTCTCATAAAGTAAACTTAAAATGGCTGTGTCATCAGAGTATTTAAAAATAAAATTCTGTGAATGCTTACTTATAACATCAGGCTTATAACATTGTCTTGAACATCAGGCTGGTTTGAAACAGATCTGCATAATAGCACTCTATGGTATGCTCTACGGAAATGTTTGTTATTTGGGGTGAACTATCCCTTTAATGTATTTATAAAATAGTCATAAGTGGCAGCCCTATGGTAAAGCTGTTGTATGAGAGCTCTGAAACATCATCATGGTTGGTTTTGTGAGGGGTTTTGTCTGCAGAAATGAATGTTAGAGTGTGGTGAAGGTACCTGTTTGAAATCTGAATTTCCCTGCATGCATTGCAAACAGTAGATGATTGGATCCCCTTTCATTGGTGGCAGCGTCTCCCAGCTGACCTCACACGACTCGTCCACACGCTCCACTCTCGGAGCTGATGATAAACACAAACACACACACACGAAAAATACAGTTAAAGAAAGAAACCGAAATGCTTTCACACATCCGATTTAAAACCCGCTTTAAGTTCGATCATTTCCAGCTCTTTTTAATCCCCGCTACTAGCAGCACACTCCATTTCCACATTACTGGATCTGTAGTGACAACAGACCGCAAAGGATGATGGCCACGCCTGGGCTGATGGGAATTGTAGTTCCCGCTACCTCCCGTTAGCTTCATTCGCCTGAGCAAACTTTACTCAGAAATATAGTTTTATTGAGTCATGCGCCTACGCTAATATTGAAAAACATTACTATTGCGGTATGACGGTATTTACAATATTGTTACATCCCAAGAAATGAGTTATTGAAATTGTTACGTTTATAAATGTGTTAAAAATATATTGAAATATAAATCAGCAAATATAAACATACCCCTAAATTAAATCTATCAATACAACACATTACTTATAATTGCATTTCAATGCAAATAAATAGAAAACAGCAATAAATAAATTCACAAACAATACTTTACTGTATGTCTGTTGAACCCTTGAGCAGCACTTAATCTTTCCTTGTGGACACATTTGGGTACAAAAGTCTTAAGTGTGATTCCATTTTCCTTTCCAACTATCAGTGTATGTGTATTTCTGTAGCTTTTCTAATGTATATGTGAGTGTTTGTGCTGTACCTTTGAGGGGTGCAGGAGGGGAGCGCGGGGTGGTGAAGGTGTAAACGCTGGAGAACGGCCCCTCGCCCGCTTCATTAAAGGCCTGGATGCGGAAAGCGTACGAGGTAGACTCATTTAGCCTCTGCACTTTGTGAGTGTGACACGGTCCTTTATATAAGGATATAAACCTTCAGGGAGACACACAAACACACAACGTTACAGACATGAACTCTATAAAGACAATGAATACACCACGCTGCAAAAAAGCCTCGGCTTCTTTCTAAAAGCACTTAAATGAGGAAGCCCTTTCTAGATAAGTGAAAGACAGTGTCTTGTTTTAAACAACTATAAGTTGACATCTAGGTGATCAGTTGCTAACAGAAGTGGCTTATTTGAAAGGCCTCTAGATTACGCTTATTTTACCAAAATAAAATATGATCATGCCTTGATTTTGACTGATTTCATTAGGACAGTAAGGTCTGACTCTGCTTAGACAAAAGTCTTGAACAGAAATAATGTCCAGTATAGAATATAAAGTCCTGCTGCAGTGGAGACAGAATGAATATTGTGTCTGACTCCATCATGAGCTTGGAGGACTGCATCCATACATCTCTGACACGACTCAAATCACTGATTAATAAAGTCATCTGGAATGGCAAAGAAAGCGTTCCTGCAGGACTCCCAGAGTTCATCAACATTCTTTGGATTCATCTTCAACGCCTCCTCCATCTTACCCCAGACATGCTCAATAATGTTCATGTCTGGTGACTGGGCTGGCCAATCCTGCAGCAGCTTGACCTTCTTTTGACACTCCGCGACCCACTAAAAATGTTCCCACGACCCACTTTTGGGTCGTGACCCACCAGTTGAGAAACACTGCTATAAAGCAGTGGTTCTCAAACGTTTTTCACCAAGTACCACCTCAGAAAATAACTGTCTCTCCAAGCACCACCATAATGACCGGCATTAAAATACAGCAGCGTAGTAGGCCCAATTAAGCAGCTACAGCTCTGCACAGTGCAAAAAACAGGCAGATTAATTCCTGTTATTAAAGAGCCCATATTATGGGTTTTTGAAAATTCCCCTCCATGTAGTGTGTAACACAGCTCTAAGTGAAGTGAAGTATCCAGCTAAAGGCTGATTTATACTTCTGCGTCAAACGCCGGCGTATGCTACGGCGCTGACGCATAGCCCTTCTCCCTGGCCGTCGCCGTCACTGACGTGCACCTCTCAAAAAATGTAACTACACGTCGCAACGACGCGTAGCGTAAGCTCTGTGATTGGTCGGCTTGGTAGCGCTGACGAATCTGGGCGGCACTGAGAGCCGCGCGAATGGCGCGAGCGATTGTTTACAAGTGTGGAGTCCCGTGAAGGAGCTCCGGATGGAAAGTTTTGTTTTGTGTTTACCTCATAGTTAAAGTTGTTGCACGTCCGCCGGTTCCTGCCTCAAAATGAGCGAGTTTGAGCCACTTGTACATCCCGAAAGTGTTCAGGAAAAGCAAAACAACAGCGAAGAAACTCGACACAGAGACACATTTACACCTCACTGCCAACTAGCGTTTCGGAAGTGTTAATGCAGACCAGCAGAGACAGCGCGCAGAAGTATAAATGCACAGCCACGCCCGTTGCATGCGCCGTGGGTTACGCCGGTCACCTGACGCAGAAGTATAAATCAGGCTTAAGGCTTAAATCTGTAAAAGTACAGTGTTTAAAACTGTTGATTCATCTATAAAAGAGTCGACTCATAGTGCTTCAAACGAGTCGCCTTGATACCGATTCATTAGGTGTTTCGCCATGACGTACGAACAAAACCAAGTGATTCACGTGCACGCGCAAACCCGGGAGATTTCAAACCTGCGGCCCCGCCCTCTGACGCAGAAACCCAGACACACACACCCACAAACACACGCACACAAACATGCTGGTCGATTGAAGTCACACTGCAGATGGATATATTGAGTCTCTACCCAGAGATGAAACATCAGCATTATAGCCAAGCAGTTGGAAACTACTGGAAACTTTTGCAAACTACATGCTACAAAGAATACTTCATCGGCGTTTGTTAAAGGAAGGATCAGTAAAGAGTAACTTACTGATGGACGTCAGGATGGGTTTCTTCCTCCATTTCTCAAGTGTAAGTACGTGCGATTAAAGTTGCCTCGTTGACTCTAGCTTGCAAATGTATTTAGTTGTGATTTGTTACTTGTAACCGCGTGTACTGTATCAGGTTAACTGGCTATATTCTCTTATCGCGTGCAAAGTCACGTTTAAAACGCGACGCGTGCTGCTTTGTTTACGGAGCTCCGTGGAGGAGGAGTAGTGAGTGTGTCTGTGTGTGCGTGTGTTGTCGTCCGGAGCAGGGTCAAAGGTTCAGGACACCCCGGAGAACTTTTTTTTTTATATTAACAGATTTGTGTGTGTTGAGCATCAGTTAAGACAATATTAGCACCTGTCAGCTTTAATTGTGGGGAAAACTGGATAATTTTGAGCTTTTGTCAGCTAATTTCAGCTTCCGGGTTTAAAATGATTTTTGGGGTGGGATCAAAATCGGTGACGTAGCGCAGAACTGCAAGTGCAATGATGACGCGTCGGTTTCTCATTATTATTCATAGCGGAGTTTTCTTATCCTATGAGAAGAGCCGGCTGCTTAATTATTCATGAGACCTGCCAGACCTGCCAGTGTCAAGCCCGAGCTGAGAGACACGGAAACCACGGCACATAGTATTTAGCAGTTCATGAAGGCTTATATGCGTTTGTTTCCATGATCCACAGGGTTTGTTGCATGTTTTCCCCCGCGATCTTGTCAGGGCCGATACAGCAAAGCTGTGTGCGTGCTGCTTGCATTTTTGTCGGGAGAGCAGCACGAGAATTAGAGAATGACGGACGCTGTCTTTTATCAGGAGTTCGTTCACATTCAGACACATCACCGTGCTGCTGTGTTTGCCTAAATTCTCCAGATTGTCAGCAGGGCTAATGGTTAAAATAGACAGGTAAGTAGACCTGCTGCACGGAGTCTGCTGGATACGGGGATTGAGGGAGAGTCCTTATTTATAGGGTTTACATGAACACACTTATCTTTATAATGATATAAATTGTGGTTATGTGTATATAAAATTACGAATAACAAATGTAGCAGGGCATTAAATCACTGTTCATTTCTTTGCATTTTAACTTTGTAAACTATAAACTCATGCGTCTCCTCACGGTTTGTCTCATTTTGTGAGCTAACTGATAACAGCAGTTATTCGCTCCCCTTCTCCCCTGCTGGCCACGCCCACTCCTGCCCGATGCTCGCGGAGCTCCACGCCCATTAATCATGCATCTTTTGAAAAAATTCTGAAGTAGACTTTAACCGAAAGAAGGGGGTGTCATGGCCCTTTAAGTGTGTGTGTGTGTCTGTGAAAAGAGCAGAGACGATCTCCTCAACTGTTTTTGGAGTTTTTGCTCAATAAAATAGATATTGAATTTACATTGACCCACTGGCAGCTAAAATCCACGGCTACACTATCGAGCGTGTATGAACTGTGATTACTTTTATATTGCTGATTAGCTGTTGGGCATTTCACTCTCTCACTGAAGGCAGTCGACCAATCGCAACAGACTGTCATCAGTCCAATCAGCGCAGATTAGCTTCGCGCTAAGGAGGGGTTTGGGAACAAATGAATCACTGGACGATTCATACAGGAGTCGCTGGGATAATTAGGTAAAAATAAATGCAGATTATAAGACCACAAAAGTGTTTTTTGACCTTGCATGCATATTAGACTGTTGTTGGAGACCCTTACAACCAAGATATGACCCTATTTCATGTATAATATGGGCTCTTTAAGAATTGTTATTATTGTCAGCCACTTCAAACGTTATAATTATTTTTAACATTAACACCGCACTGTGCTTACAAGTAAACAAATAAATAATGTTAAAGTAAAATGTGCTTCTTAAAGTTCATTAAAAATGGTACTGTTCTTAAAAAGGAAAAAGAAAACTGCTGTACTTAAATGTAAAGTATTAACACACCTCCCGTTTTTGTCCTCCATCTGCAGATGGTACTGTAGGGAGTCGGTGGGCTGCGCTTTGGCCGGACCGTCGCCCCATTTGAGCCTGAGGGTCTGGTGACTGGACGCCGTGCACTCCAGACGGGGTGGCAGCGGTGGCAGTGGCTTGGTCTTCAGTTTAAAGGTGTGACTAAAGGGTCCTGTGCCCAGACTGTTCAGAGCCTGGATCCGTATCCTGTAAACACCCCCACAAGATGAAAATATGTACAACATTTTTAAAAACGTAAACAAAATTAAGTAAACTTTATTAGGCCGGTCTGTTAGATACACCTGTTCAACTAGATGTGTGTGTGTATAGCTTGCAGAAAACTGAAACCAAACGTTAAATGCTATAAAACAAACCGCTTCAGTGCTGACACCTTGTGGACAAACTTAAGCCGTGTTTACACTAATACGTTTTAGTTTTAAAACCCTTAAGTTTTACTACAGTTACGCCATCCATCTACACTACGCCAGAGTTTTTTAGCGCTGAAAACGGATTGTTTTGTAAACGCTGAAGAGGCCATTTTCATTTTAAAATGCTGCCGTCCCATGCTAGTGTGGAAGGGGGAAATTGGAGCTATATAAATAAGCAAAAAAAGCAATAAAGCCAATAATCAATAATCATATCCACACACACACACACACACATACATATACATATATATATATATATACACACACACACATACATACACATTCATCTATATATATATATATATATGTATATATATATATATATATACATACACACACATATATACATATACATATATATATATATATATATATATACACACACACACACACATACATACACATTCTTCTATATATATATATATATATACATACACACACACATATACATATACATATATACACACACACACACATACATACACATTCATATATA